GTTGGACAGACCGGAATTCGCCTCGATGCAGACAGCGTCCTAAGGAGCAGGGCCTGGAAGATCATAGTGACTAGGGTTTACCCTATCATCACCAACGCGATAAGTTTCTGCGTTACCCAATCTTGAGAGTAATTGGCCAAACTGGACTGGGGTCGGCAAACACTGGTACGCACCTGCTACAAGTCGCGAGATACGAAAGGTTGAGTGTACACCCGACGTTGGGTCGCTACAAGGTAATTGTGAGGAGCGACTTCCAGAGTGCCCAGTAAAATAATCGACTTTGTATTTAGGACAGGAATTGGGAGTGCCTTGATCATTCAATCTCAAAGCACAATATGCTCCCAAAGAAAAAAGGTCCAGTTGCAGGCTGAAATTATTCAAAATGACTGTTAAAGATTCGTCTTAAAATGGCCTCTGTAAAACGTTGCAGTCATGACTGAGCGCCGAACATTCGACTCTGTGATTTCTAGACAGCACGCATCCATCGCTCAAGTGTTCTGCAAAGGCTGAGGAGGAAGTTATAGGCTGTCCGCCACAAGTTCAACCGTCGCGACTAGTGCGGCCTATCACTAAGTTGATTTTGCAGTTATGAACCTTGCGTGACTTCATCCTTAGCTGTATTATATCGGAATCTACTTCACCACCCTCTTAACACTTACTGTGTAGACGAGTGTCGAAGTGGAAACCGACGAGGCTGAAGACGCACCTCCGTGTAGCTCCATGGTGTATATCTGACTCGCGTGAGCAAGCTTCATGGTGGGTTCAACACATCCCATCAACGGAAGTTTTTATAAATGTTACATTACGTATAGTCAGTACATTTCGACTTTTAGGTCTGGGTCGAGACTGGGTTGTACCGTCAGCTGTTACCTATTCATACCTGTTTGTAAGCGGTTAGTAAAAGGTTTAAAACCACTGTTTCGTCTTTCTTGACTTAGCTGACTCTATATCCAGCAATCACGCGTACGCCAAACACAGTGCTAACAACTATCAAGGCAGTATGGTACTATTAAGTAAAAATGGTAAAGGATAAACAATGTATGGACCTCAACAATAGATACACAAAGTCAAGGGCGAAGAAAGTCGGCCAAATCGCCTGATTCTATACAAGGGGACAAGAAAAATTCAACAACAGAAGCACGCAGGCCGAAACTAGCCTTGGGAAGGAGTATGCGTGTTAGTGG